GATATTTCTAACTTTGACATTGACTTGAATTAAAAACTATTGTTATAAGACATCAGAAATGCAGCGAATATATAATAGAATTTGCGATAAAATTAGCAATATCTATCCAAAATTTGTTAGTAGTAAATGAAAGGGGTGGAGGGTGGATGTTAAATGTTTTTGAAGGTACGAAATAGATTTCCGAGTATTTGACAGGAGTTCTACGGATGTATGATGACGATGATATACAACACGAACAAAGTATCAACAGTACAATCAACAAGGGATTAACAGTGTTAAATACAACTTTTGGACAAAAATGAGAACATCCGAAATCTCGGTAATAGGGAACACATGCGATAAAGTAACAGGGTTAAACAGACATTAGAGGGAAATGGAATGTAACATTTGATAACTTATTAACAGCAATAACGTGCCAAACAGAAATTCAACGTGAACAACGGGAAAATCTTGAGGACAGGTATTATATCGGGTGACCAAAAGCGTAAAATTCGACACAAACGTAAACAACAGAAACAATAACATTCAGATAGGCAACATACGAGAAGCATTCAAAAGCAGCATAATACGTTTGTGTGTTGTGTCTGAACAATTCTCTTTCGTCAAATATAAAGCGTCTCCTTTCTTTACGAGATGTACCTTGAACCCCTTCGTTCGGATTGTATTACTCCGGACAAAATTTAACTTCAATCGTTACTACAGGCAAAGTACAAATCATCCATGCTGTAATTTTTTTTTTTTTACTAGATAATCGACATTGAGTTTATCGAGTTTATCCAGTTTAACGATCTTTTCATCTGGGTAATTAACATAAACGATTTTGTTTCTGCAAAAGTATGTATATGCGTTTACCCTAGATCTTAAAACTATATTGTTAAAGATACTCAATTCTATCAAGAAAACTGTTATGTCACTTAATTCATCGAATGTATATCAATGTGACTATATTCTTAAAATTGAAAAAATTTTTGCTTATTATATTTGGATAAGTGCTTACAGATTAAAATATAGGTCGATTTAAATTAATTAGTCCTCTCGCGAAAATTAATAAAGTAATCTATGCCTACGAGATGAAGCTGATCAACTGTAAATTGATAATGTTTGACTTGTAATTTTCTCTCAGACGAGTAATGTAAAACTTGACAGTGGGTATATTAATGAAAAGTTCACATAATAACTGTAACGTTTCGTAGAAATAGAAAGGAGTATTCTGTAAATTAGAACATTTAATATTAACTTACAGCATTAAAGCATTATTAATTTACAGTTGACAGGTAATATCTCACAACGCTAAATATTAGCGTTCACGACTTGTCCTTATCGCTACTCACAGGGGTATCATCCATTTGTGTCTGGCACATCTTTGCTCGATTAAGTGTACCAGCAACAAAGTTGAAAGTTAAATCTAAAGTAACCTAAACGTAAAGTACCTACGATACGATTGTGTATAAATTTTATATGTACGTGTTAAGTAATTCACGTTCTACATTGCGTACTTGTCGATAACGAAACGGTCAAAGAACGAATTTTCAGACAAGTTTTCTCTTCTTGATTTATGCGTTTTGTGATTATCTGAATGGCTGAACCGAGCAGGATAATCTGAAAGCGCGACACTGAAACACGCAGATGCTGAAAGGAACCTGTTGGTCTCGCAAAACGGCGATTACATGTTTTGTAATCCGTAATTATTATCAGGCGATTTTGCGAAACGAACACTTCTTCATATCCTTTCAACATCTCCGCATAACAGTCGAAACAATTAAAATTACTTTTATATTCAACCGCGTTGAATTGCTTTTGAGGCATGTCGGCTGTAGAACGTATTATTTCGCGTAGAACGTATCATGCTTTATATTTACATGCTTATTCATTTCCTTTTTGTTTTCTTTTTTTGGGTTTTTATGGTCTTCTTTTTTATGAGTAAAAAAATAAATGTAAAATAAAAAAAAAATAAAAAAAAATAATAAAATAAAACTAAAAACAGGCTAAATAACTGATCAATTCGTGAAATCATCGAAATGTGAAGAATGTGTCGAAATTCAACAAAAATATGTAACATGTGATAATGAAGCATGATGACAAAGCGCAGTTAAAAATCTAAAGTTACATCATACCAAATTTTTCGGACTTGAATATAACATTTGGATGTGTAAAAGTTTAGCATTCTTACAGCAATCAGAAAGTTTATGCCAGGCCATTATTGATCAAGTCGTTATTTATAATTATTGGCACAATAACTGCAGTTTTTGCGGTTTCAAACGGTTTTATATATACCTTTCACTGAGATCGACGTTTCTAGCCGTAAAAAATGACAAAACTTTCCGCTCTCCATTTCTGTTATAATTCAAGTTATTACAACTTCTGTTACAATTGAATCTGTTATAATTGAAATACGCGAGCCTTTGTGCTAACGTAAAACATGAGATATAAAGAAAAATGAAATATATAATTTACGTACATATATTTCAGAGATCTATGGCGGAGCGCTTTGTGCTTTGGTATTAACGACGATTTCACAAAATAGGCAAAATAAAAGTAACGAATAAATTAAAGAAATAATAAAATAAAAATAAATAAATAACCTAAATCTACGACAGTTTTTTTTAAAGTAAATTAAAGAAGGATTTTAGTGCCCATCAGAATGCAGAACTGTGACGATCGATTTCTACGATATCGTAATAATTTTCGCTATCAGTTAATACTCACGTTCGATCGATATCGTTAGTGACTTAAGTATATAATCTAAGATAAAATTTTACAATTAGAACAAGGGATAGTACCTTTGCTGATGGTCCCACGACGACGTCTCGCGTTGTCCGTGACTGTGTCCCATGTTGTTCCGCTATGATTTGGTGCTCGCGATTTTCCATGTGTGTCCAAGAGTTGTCTTCCGAGGGTAGGTCCTCCGATGATTTTCCACGAAACACAATTAGTTCGTTGCTCACTCTTGATTGCTTGATAGAGCTCTTCTTGCTTGACAGGAAAGAAATAAAAAATCGTTGTTGATTAGAATAAGATCTTGCTGAGAGATTAGCTTTGTCGAGGATTCTTGCACAGTCGGAAAGGTCCGCGATAGCGATTTTTGTCCTGCGATTTGCATCTTGTGTCAGAGTGCTTTTCGATGAAAATTCTATTCTTCATCCAGATACGAATCTTCGTCGTGCGATTCGTGTTGAATTTGTGCCCGAGTGCAGAGTTGTATTGGTGTTCGAGAGTAAAAGTTTTGTTCCGAGTAAATGCTTCTCGCCATTCTTGTTTTCTGGCGGTAGTTTTGCAGTGGTTTTGTATTCCTCAAGCGGTTTTTGCTCGTTGGACGTAATTTAAGGTGAGATAGTTGACTTACGCCGCTACAGAGCCGCGTGAAAAAGTTATTTTTGTTTTTTTGATACAGTGAAAGTCTTGCAAGTGTAGGTTTTCTGAGAGAATTTCTGACTGTTTTCAGAGTATCCTTGGATTTGGACCAAAAAGGACTCCGCGTGTACTGTTTTGCGTAGCGTCATTCGCAAACGAACGTCATAAATTAGCTCGACTATGATAATCCAATTGATTTTGGGGGTTCGATATAAATTGGTTCGATTAATGATTTTTCAATTGATTTCGGGGATGACATCTGCTCTGAATATCAATCTTTCCGCCCACTTCCCTGGATTTTGGTTGTGAAATTTGTCGCGGGTCGCTTTTGAGATCTGTTTTTGAGCGCTGCTGTTTGCTCTCTGGTTAATCATTAATCGTTCGAGAATATGTAGGTCGGGTGTTTGACGGTGCGCTAACTCGTCGATCCGAAATAACTTGCGAATTTCGATCGAGAGCTTTTGATTGTTCTACGCCAGGTTGAACCCTGGAAGAGATCGCGTTTTTTTTTCCCGATGCGATCCAAATCCGTGCAGAACTGTTTTGGCTGCACGATGTTAATTTACGTCGTGATTTCCGATTTTGCGATTTGGCGCTTTTGATCTGCTCTGAAGCCTTAATTTGCATGCCGTCGATTGACATGCGCGTTTGATCGATAAGTCTCCTGTTTGAGAGAAACCGTGAAATGATCAAAATACTCTTGCAGAAATGTTTTTTTCATCTAAATAATTGCTAGGCAAGTATCAAATAATCATCGATAAGTCGTAAAACGTGAACTTGGAATCACGTTGTTATCTCTTTGGTGATGTTGCAGCGCGTAAAGAACGTATAGGGAAGTGTAACGAGAAACGTTTTCCTCGCGGTACGATCCGCGGTATGCCTCCTGTAAATCGTATACATATACGAAAGAAAAAAAAGGTCGCGCGTCCTGCTGCGGCCGTTTGGTAATACTCTGCGAAATTATAATCCTGAGGGTGTGAGACTTGCACTTGTGGCGGCGTATAGACCGAAGGGTTGCCGGGTTAAGGTCGGAGGAACGATTCCATCCATGCCGTGAGCCTTTTGCGAGGAGAGACGTTTTGTCCTTTCCAATCCAATTTTGGTGCGAGACCGAGTCCAGACTCTCGCAAATTTTTCGCGCTGCGAAACAACGCGGAATACGTTTAATACGTTTGATACGTGCGCGTGCGTGTTATGCGTGTGTGTATGAATGTTTTTTGTTCTCTTTCGAAGTAACTGCGTGATCCTGAAGTGCGTCGCGTGATGCACGCGCTGTATGACTTTTTCCGTAAATTTCCAATGATTTCGGAGAATTTTCGTCGATAGAGTGTTACTATCATTAGTATTAGTATCGTTGGCTGTGAGGGTAAGAGTAACGTCGGCGTTTGTTTTTTTTTGAAGTAATAATAATAGTGATAGTAAATGTGTGACGTTTTTGAACAGGTGATTTTGCTGTTTTTGACGATGCTCCAAGTGTTGCGTTGAAAGTGTTCGATTTCGTTGGGAAGCTTTTGCTCTTCGGTCCGGCGAGAACGACAGGTGCAGCCTCCGCCAGTCAGGAGATTTCTGAGGTTCCGAAAGTTTCACGTTTGGTGATCGAGTGATCGACGATTGAAGCCATCTGGCGGGGGTGGAGTAGACTTTAGTAGAGAACGGAAGGTGGTTTGGTCCAACGAAAAAACATTGCTGCCTTTGGTCTTGAGGTTGATGCCGGAAAGTACGTACGATACTAGAATTCGCGGAGTTGTTTTGTGTACGCCTCGAGGAAGTCTCGTTCGAAGGCGCTCTCGAGTGTTGTGCAAGTCAAATAATTAAAATATCCTCAGGCTCGCCGGGTAGACACGTGAAAGCCTGTTTTCCCCTCTTGTATGCGAAAATGTATAAATGCGATAACTTCAACCAATGATGCGCGATAATTGCGAGAAATCCAACAAATCCCGTAGATGCAATAAACATAATAGACTGCCTGGTGGATGATTGAAGAATCGTTGCGACCGTCGCTCTTGATCCCCGACGATCTCCCACGATCATCGGGGAGAACGAGATCGCGCCGGATACATTCCTTATCCGTTTCGGTACCCGTTTCGGCTCCTCGCCGGATAGCTGGCTTCCGCCTGACGTCGGATTCCGGCTGCACCCGCCGATTTTGATCCTCCCGCGCCGTCCCGTCGACTGGTTGATGCCATGATTGATGCCCTGATTGCCCTTGATTGCTGCTGCCTCGTTTTCCCGGGCCGTCCGAGTGGTGAGACCTGGAAGGGTGTGAGCGTTAGCTACGAAAAAAAAAAATAACACACAAGGGCCGGTTGTTCACGTTTTTCCGTGCGTTGAAACTCTAATCTAACCGATATCTACCAAATGCTCTTTAGTGACGCTAAAATAAAGTAATCCCTTTGAGATTTCGAATAGTTATTAGTGGTGCGAAAAGTGTGCGTGCGGTCGTCGCCAAGCGTCGTTATTTTGAACTGCCACGAATACGGATGCCGAAAGGCGCTTTCACTGTTCTTCACTGTTTTGCGCTACTTTGTTTTTTGTCAGAATTCGCGAATGCCTCGTACGTTTATTGTTTCCCGACGAGCTTCCAGCACGGGTGAGGAATTTCGATCAATTTCGTTCAGTACAGGCGTATATTCTTCATATGAGGTTGCAATGACTGTGAATGATGCGATGATATTTTAGACTAGCATCCGTTTCTTTTTGTCTTGTCAGGAGATTTGCATTTTGATCAGAAGATACCTCGCGACGCTTAACTTCATGGTGAATTTATATTGTGCTCGGAAAATTTAGCTGTGCTGAAGAAAAAGGCATTGATGTAGAAAATTTACGACCATGCGGCTGTGATATGATGTTGAAAAGTCTAGTTTTTTTCCCTTGAAATTTGAAATTAGATTGAGAATCAACGTTTGACGGATATCCGGCAAATATCATTTTTGATAACTTCACATTTAGTTTTTCGGTCATAATGTTTAATCTTAATTTCTTCATGGACAGTTATTGGTAAATTAGTTTTGTATATCTTTAATGTGCTAAATTTTATCTCTATTTTTGATTAATTGTCACTGACAGACATAACGACGATTAAGTTATCCGAGAGAAAAGCTGTTTTTCTAGTTTTAAATACGTTCGCCTTTATAAATACTTTAAACGTATAAAACTTTAAATTCTATATCGAGATTCAGGATAACTTTTCCAGATTTTGTCATTTGAATTGCTGCATTGCTCGTGCTTTTGCGTTTACGAAATGAGCCTAGGACGTCTGTCTGCCGTAAATTCGTGTGTATACTTGATTTCTTAGAGCAGTTCGATCATTTGCCCAATAGATACGATTATCCCAAAGAACGATATTGTGCAAGCATCTTCATCTTTGAATGTTGAACGCAGTTTAACATCTACTTCGATTTTCACAGACATAAATGTGACCTCGAGCGTTTTCAAATGAATCTTATTTTTATTCTCGGCTAACGTAAAAGATTTCTTTCGATCGACTTTTTGTTTGTGAAACTTGTCTGACCTTTTCTAAAAGAATTCGTATCGCGTAGATAGCCAAGAAACGGCGTATTTAAGGGTCACGACATATCCGCGGTGTTATCGATGAGTCCGAGAGATATCCCCGAGAAGATCGACGAATTTCTTTGAAATGTTCTTATCAGCTACACTTTTATTACTCTTCTTACATTGGAACGATTATCGTGGAAGAATTTTGACTTGACATTTCTTTGCGAAGATTTGGAAGTTGCCGGAGAATATCTTACGATAACATAATCACAAATAAATCAATAGATCGCGTCGATGAGTCGAGATTGAAGTGGTTTTGAGGAATAATTTCGGAAAATTCTCCAAATGCCAGAGATTCGCGTTTCTTCTATCTTTCCTTTTTCCAGAAATGATGTTGGTACAATGATGTTGGTAAAGCACAAGCTGTTAATTTTTTTTGTGATTGTACATATATTTTGCAAGAAATTTTTCGGACGCTCGTGCCGTGCGGCTCCCGTGTAGAAATCTCAAAGTTTTTTCGTGGCACTTATACCGCTTACCACGATCCAACAAATATATATGATAATACGCACTATTGCGAGCAGCTGGTAGTAGCCTGCAGTCTTGAATGTAAAACGCGCGGCTTTCGCTAGCCGATCCGGTCGACAATATGTCAATTATACTCGCGCTTCTCGGAGGGAGAACGGAGGGTGGAGGAGGGAAGGACACGAGCGTGGAAAGTGTAGCTGAGAGGAACAGAGCAGAAGCGAGAATCAAAAAGACCTCGATGGTTTCCCTGTGTGTATATGTACAACCGGAACAACCGGCCCCGGAAAGACCGGAGAGCACAAAAAGAGGGCGAAGCGTGAATCGTGGAAAAGAAGCGTGGCCGCAAGAGAGGAAGACAAAGAAGTCGTGCTGTTGTACTGCTGATGCAAGATGCTGGACCGTGGGACTTGTAGGCATTATGAGTTAGTTAGCCCCTTTAGAGGTTTTCTCTCTCTCTTCCCTGGGAACGCGCATAAATCACGAAACGCGAGGGGGGCACGGGAGCTCGAGGTGACGAAAAATACCTTTGTACAGAATGTACGAAGGGCCGGGTACGTGAGGCGTATGAGGGACTCTCAAAGCGGAACTCTTTTTTTCTCTTTATTTTGTGGCTCGTTAGATTCTTGAAGGCCGCGCGACAATGCCAAAGCCGTGGCTCTTTGTTACGCGAGTCCGGCCTGCTTCGCGTTTTGATGCCCGGAATCTTTTCTTTCGCTAACGATCGCGGCGCGGTGTTTTTGGTGTTCGTCGTTTGGTGTTTGGCGTTTGTTCAGATCGTTAGAGTGGTCTTGACGGGTGGTTTTGACGACTGATCTTTGTCGATCTGTTTCGCAGGAAATTATCTTGAGCATTGGATTATGGCTCGATACGTTATACAACCGCGACGCGGTTGATTTCACGGATTATTCGGGTTCGCGTGAAACTGGTGATGAAGCAATAATCGAGCGTTCCATTTATTGGAACGTCTCATTTAAAAATGTCTCCTTGATAGATCACGATTTCTATAATTCTAACACGTCTTTCTCATAACTTGCAGTCGAGATTTTGCAATTTTGCAAATTGAAGAAAATCCGGCATGATCAACGGTTAGTCTCGCGAGATTATTTCTTCGACATCGTAAGATATTAACTAAATTGTCAATTTTTATATACCTGTATCTTCTTTCGGAAACAAAACAGATTCGCCTGGTCGTTTGATGATTTTTGGAAAAATATTTAATAAATCCAAAGATATTTTGTACTCGTCTGAAGCAGTCTAAATTATTTTTGAACCATTAACATACCGTAATATTTAGATTCAGGAATTTTGATTTGGATATTGTTGAAACAATTTTTATAAAACGGAGGAAATCTTTTTTTTGTACCACATTAAAAGCAACATCCAATCTCTGTTTGTTTCTATTGCGATAGCTATTGCTATGATTTCTTGATATTTTGAAAAATGCTTTCTCCACAAACGTGTGATTTTAAATGCAACCTTCACTTTAACTCGAAAATATTCTTCAGTCTTTGTCTTCTTGTAGTTTCCTTCATTCTTTGAATAAATCAAATCAGTTTCAAGATACTGCCACATTCGAAAAGTCGAAAGAGATCTTTCGTTTTAGCGTGTTCCTTAAAGCCAATAAATTTCTTCCGTTTTCTTTTTTTGTTGAAACAATAGGAATTATTTTTGAAACGGTATAGTGTCGATCAATTTTTGAAAACCCGAAGAGTCGTTAATGAGCTCAAATGTAATCGCCATTATTTCACTTATTGAGTTGCCATCATTGTTCTATTGCAAGTCCATATTTCAAATATGTTATTTTATTACGCGATCTTAATCTTACTCAACAGAGTATTAATGTAAAGTAATAGAGTACACAATAAGAACTTGGCAGGGCACAGCTTGTATCAAAGAATATACTGATTCGATGATGATCAAATAATGATTGAATGATTTATACAATAACGGGATCTATAAAAATGTTTTAATTCTATTTGAAGAAACCAATTTTATATGCGCGTTTTTCCCATAATACAACCAATTTCAGAAAAGTATCGTAACACGAAAACAGAGTAAATTTTTTTTTATCATTACGTACAGACGAATCTATACTTTTGTCATGTATTCTCATCTGTTGTAAGTAAATCCAGTTAGATAAATCCGGTTAGATTAATCCGGTTAGATAGATACGAGGATCAAATAGTTAAATCGGAAGTGGTACTGTATGTCGCAATATATGCGCGTGACTGATATTTCCAGTGATATATATAAACTCCTTTGGTTATATGGAAACACATTTAAAAGATCAATTCTTGCGTGTCGATGTATTCGGTGACCGAATCAATGCAGGGTTTATATCGGTTACGGTGTACGAGTGTGTGCTGATACGATCGACATGCTCTTTGCTTCCGGCGTAAGTATATGGGGAACAGTTAAACCGATTCCCTTCACCCTGATCGAATATGCGAACAGGTGAAACGACTGCCCGAACAGCATAATAAATTCCTTCGCGATATCTCGATAACATTAAATGCTTTTATTTATTTCAGTTGCAAAATAATTTTTAACATTGCCAATATTGTCACATCAGTAGTTCTCAATTTGGTTGCAAAGCTTATATAACTTTAGTGTAAGAACAATTGTATTGATTTTATTGTTATAAAATTTCTCTTCTTCTCTTTTTTTCTTTTAAATATCTTTTTCTATTAAATGGCTGATTTGGATGTTTTATCTGGAATAGAGAATAATTCTTTTTTGGAATGTCATAAATATAACTTTTTTTTATAATGCTGCTAAAACAGGATCTGTTGAAACTTGTATAACAATATATATATATTTTTTTTTGCTGAATTGATAATCTGTCGTTTCGGAACAGCCTCTGGATTTATCTCATATATGATTTTAAATAAATATATAATCCTTTATTTGTCAAATAACTTAAATTTGAATGTACACTATTAAGTTTAAATATCAAACATCTATTTTTCATCATTTTTATTACAAAAACTTTTCTTCGGTCAGTCTTACTGCTTGTAATAAAAAAAATTGTACGGATATCAGTTTTATTATTAACTGCATTTTTTCTTTTAGAAAACGTATAAAAAAGTATTGCTGCTTTAATCGTAAAAGGTCAGGTCAGAATATTCGCCAAATGCAGTAATAAAGTAAATCATAAATTTTTATAGCGGAAAAAAAATTTCAGTCCCGATGATTTTTGCATGATATATTGAAAACCCGAGTATTTAAATGCCTGTTATATATGTATATATTTCGATAATCGGATGCATATCTGTTTTGTGGCTTAAATAAAGATGTAGTTGTATTTGTTCTTTTTCTGGCGTATAAATGAAATATCAGTCCGAAGTTACATGATCTTTCTTTTATTAGATTACGACTAAAGAATTTTTTGTTTTACTTGTTATCATCAAAGAAACCTTATTACAAATACTTTGTCCGGTTTTACATCTTAATCATTCTTTCAAAATGCAGCAGCAAATTTGAAGTTTCTAATATGATTACTGCTTAAGGTTTTTGTTGGTCCACTATTTTACCCTTTACTTGTCCAGATAATATGATTTTGTGGCTCGTGAAAAAGTCTTGTTTTCTATCACGTTTCAAACGTCTTTCTGAATTTGTTTTATTTTGCAACAAAACTTGCTCATATTTTGAATAGCGCTTGTTTCGAAATTGGAATCGTGCAATGTGTAATCAAATTTTAACATACAATATCGATTATCTGCATATTGCCTAAAGTGATTATGCCGATTATTATCGATAACAGCAGAAAAGACAAGATATGTAATCATGTAAATAACAATTATCCAACAAATATTATCATATTCTATACTGCTATTGGTGAGATTTGAAGTGAATTTCTGTCAAGTTACTGTTCATAAAAAATACTATCGATTAATTAGTCGATTAATTAATTCCCGGAATACCGAGGTAAGCGACCGAGAGTAACGTTGGTCGTAAAATTATTCTGTAAAAACAGATTTCGTGATTGTTAAATAATTCCTGTATTTCATCTATTTTATCAAACTGATATACATTGTTCCTAATCGTCCACGCAAATTATCTTTGGTCGTATATTTATACATTCTCGTCTATAAATTGCATGGCATTCTATTTTATTAACGTTACCACTGCATTGATCCATTACAAACTTTTTAGTAGCAACAAATTTAAATAGAATAACTTCAAATCTTAACAATTAAACTTCATATTAACCGTAAAACTGTTGCGAGTGTGACAATCTCATAGGAAAAGCGTTTGTTTTCAAATTTGCAATGAGCATACGACAAATGTTCTCAGCTTGAGATTGAACGGCAATTTTAACCGGCTTAACGGGACAATGAGTTGGTAGAATGGAAATAAAAGTTTCTACGTGGATTATCTCGGACATTTGATATTGTTCGATGTCATTTTTGATCGTATCATATTCGGAACTAAGGATAAAGGAGAAATTTCACCTGCTTGAATCTGCACATTTTTTATTGAAACTTAACCCCCTATATTATGTTACGAAGTTACACGATAAAAATTTCGATAAACGACACCTTTCCATTTTATGTGAAGGTTCTCACGTTGTCTCCGTGTTACTTTGCGCAACAAACGATGTATCGACAATTTCTGACGTGCGGAACGTAATGCTTGACAGGATACAGAAGTGTCTACGCATGCAGATTTTTTGCGGGTTTATTAAGCAGCTGGTGGAAACTAAATAGAGTAGATCACACAGATTGAGTCGAGTCGGTACAGAAACAGCAGCTTGAAACTGAGAGTTTAATGCGCACGCACACGATGTGTTAAATTAATCGCATGCATTTCGTTAATTTACATACAAAACTAATTACACTGATGGATCTGTACATTTAACTGTTGATCTACGATCGACTACGAATGACTGCACGCCTACGAGCGCACTTTGGCCGCTCGTAAACGTGCACTATTAACAGCAAATGAAAACGTTCTGAAAATCTACAGATACAGGTGAGAGATAAGCTGAGAGGGTGTGTGATATCACTACTCGCAATCTCGAAACGAAGATTATCCAAATGACTTTAGTATCTCGGCGAGTCGCAAATCTCGGACGATACTGGAAAATTTGGATCAATCTGCCGCGTTGCCAAAATTAATTATCCGTAGAATTAATTAATTATCCGTATGAAGATTTCACGAAACGTTTTCTTGCAAGGAGTCATTCCGATTATGTCGGTAATAGTAATAATAATAATAATAATAATAATAATAATAATAATTTTCAACGGACGCGTGTGTGAGTAGTGATAACGCCGTTAACAGGAGAAGCAGTTTGAGGAGAGCGCCTATATTTTTAGACGAGTACAAATTTCGAAGGATCAATATTACACACAGAGCAATTTGTGATCAGACGTGAGAAAGATAAGACAAAAGCAGACAGAACTTTCGAACACAGCGGCGAAAAGGGGGATTAGACGAGCAAATTTCAAGTCACATTTTGGGGAGGGATATTAGTGCCTGGATAGAGTAGGTCCGAATGATCAATACGCGCGTAACTCGGTAATTTCGATCGTAGATTCACGCTATTCTGTCTCGCGAATTATCTCAAGACACGTCCGTCGCGATTAAATTTCACGTTAAGTCTCTCTTGGCACGTCGTGGGCGGTTAATTTTTCTCGTTTTCAGCAATTTGGCCGTTTTCTACCTGCCCGAAAATTTTCACAAAGTACTATCCGATAAAATCAGAACACCGTGAAAATAAAAAGAAAGGAATCCGCATATCTGTTCGTGACATCGCGCGTGAATCTAAACGCGCAATTAATCGCGCGGTTGGTTGAACGAACTGTGTGTCATGATTTTTGGAATTTAGCTCGAAATCAATTCAATTCGAATCTCTCGATATAAATTTCTCGAAGCGCGCTCGCTATAGCGAATCGCCTCTGGTGTTCTCATTTCCACGATAAATCGTACTGTATAATCGACTATCTCATTCGCGAAAAACTAAGCGAGTCGAGAAATTTGAACTTTCAGAATCTCACTTTGACAACGTTCGTCGGCTTCAAAAAGACGTGGCAATAAATTAGATTTTCTATAATAATCGCCTGTAAATGTACTTCTTTCAGAGCGAACGTTAATAGATGCAAACGTAATTTGGTTTTTGGTATAAAGTATGTAACTCGCCTAAATTTCCGCGTGCGATAGTCGATCGTTATTTGCGGAGAAGCGTAAAATTTCCGAGGTTTCACGAGGCAGAACGTCGAAGATCCGCGGGGCCGAAAACCTAGATTATAGACGACTTTTAGCGTAGTCTATCGAAGCACCAAGATCACGTGCTAGCCAGGACAAAAACCCGAAACTATACTCACCATCGTGGGTGGTAGACGCTCCGATCGGATCTGCGACAGAAAAATGATGGCGATCGCCGATTAGATGACGGCAGCCTACTTCCTCTCGTCTCCTCTCTTCTTCGCTCCACCGGATCCTCCTCGACCGTGACCGGGACGGTCGAACGGTCGAAGAAGCCGAGACCTCCTCTCCTCAACGTTGACCGTGACGCTCTGAGGTCATTGCAGGCCGAGCGGGCCCTTATATACTCGCTAGGCCCTTCGTTGCACGTGGTGGTTGATGGGGGCCCTTCAGGGGAGGCCCCCTGGGAAAACGGTTCGGCGCAACGTTCCTTTTCAGACATCCTTCCGCTCCCCTTCTCTGTCATCTTTTCCCCCTATCGCCGAGGGAGAAAAGAGATCACGAGACGAGACGGGAAGATCCTTGCTTCCGAACACGTTTGCTCCTTACCTGTTTCTGCACGTTAACGTACGCGACGGTTTCCTCTCCCGATACTCTCCACCGAGGGGTGCTGGTCACCCCCTGAAAATCCTAAAGGGGGGCGAACGGCCCAGGTGCCAGGCAGAAAGATAAACCGAGAGCTCTCGGAAATTTCTGCCAAATGGGATTTCTTCGCGACGGTAAATTCGAAATACTGTGCACGTGAAAAGTATCTCCAGGTGGAGTTGTCCAGGAGTGAGATTTATTTGGTTCACTTATCTTGTCAAAACTAAGATTCAGGAAGAGCACAAAGAGAATTTCCTAGCGGAACGGCATCAGAATCTCCAATCTTTAAATCATTTATATATATATGAAAGAGTAAAGAATTAATATTTGAAGTAATACAAAAGAAAGAGTATTCTTTGCAATTAAATAACGAGGCACTTATAATATTAAATCTATATTTATATTTATTCATATAGTATTGATCGAGAAATTTTAAATTTCCCAGTTAAATGCTTCAGATGTTCTCACATTTTTATTCTATTAGCTCGATTTGCAGATCCTAAATAATTGCCATCGATATTACACATATTGAGCGAAATATAAATATTCTATTTAATTTTCTATTTAAAATGACGCAGTTTCGGTGCGACTGTTATTTAACCGTTACGCACATCCCCTTTGCAATGACGCAAGAGTTACCGGTTTAGCATTCGTGTGTCACGGCAGCTAAATCGATCTCCTCTTTTACATATCTCAACGATTTCTTTAACCCTTTAATAATAGTCGCGGATCCAGTTATGTGAGTCTCATCCGTTGACCGTTTCTCGTAGAACCGTTTCCTTTCTGTCGCCCTTCTAGAACTTTTCACCAACGGTACACGCACGTACGTACGTGACTTGTACAATGCATACAAAAAAAGGGAAAAATCTCTTTGAGATAGCAGCTTGTGAGATAATTTTATTATACTTTCTCACACACAAATGTTATTAGAACTTTCTGACCAGACAGATGTGTCTATAAATGGGTGATAAGAAAGTAAAGAAATGTGCGTTGCCAGATATAATTCGTCTGTTTGCCAAATAAACCTTTTTTATTATATATATTTATTCTTAATTTTATTTAGTAGATTTTTAATCAATTACGTCGCTTTTATCAGCATTTATTGTACATATCTAATTCATTTATTTTCTCCATTAAATTAATCTTCGGTTTTATTCGGTAATTCCTTAATGCGTTGTGCCATCATATATGCTAGAGTTTCAATTTTATATATAATCATGTACAATATATAAAATATTACAAGCTGTGCGTTGATTCGAAGCGACTCACCCTGTCGCTCAAGGTGCTGATTTTTGAGAACATCGACACGCGCCACCCGCAGCACACGATATGCCCCTGATGGGAATTGATTCGTCGACGATTCATGCAAGATCGACGTGAATCATTCGGCAAGAACAGTTAAATGAATTCTCGTCGACGCGCGGCGTTAACTATGCGGGTACCAACTAGCCACTGGGGGAGATTACCGGGGTAGATAATTGGTTAATGACTCCCGCTATTCTCATCTTTTTCAGCATGTTTGCCATACTAGTATAAGCACGGCGATCAATTTCTTTTTGCTGGGTTATCCCAAGAATTTCGTCTATCGCCACGAAAGTCTTACTAAATAAAATCCACCAGTATTAGATGTACATTTGAAAGTAATCGATGAAATCTTTAAACACAGCTGATCTTGAAATAAACAACATTACAGAAAAAAATACTGTTTTACAAAGATATTTATTCTGTCACAAAGTAATTTCTACTTATGGTATTAATTTATAATCAAAAATTGTGCTTTAAAATAAAATATTGGTAATAAAGATAAAGCAAAAAATCAAATGTAAAGATTTAAAATTTTACAATCTTTAGAAGATATAATCTTTTTTTTCCGTCCCCTACTTTAAGCACTACGTTTATTTCGTATTCATATTTCTTCGTTTCTTCCTTTCCTTGGTCCGATCTGCAATATTTAAAGAGCTGTAGTAAACATCTGCAGTGCTCGAAGGGACGAAAGGTATTACACACACAAGCGTATTCCGCTTATTAGCTGACATTCTTGTCGTTTTCAATTTAATACGAAAATATATTTAAGGCGAAAGTTGAGTTGAGTTTAAAAGGGCTTAACAACTGCTTAAAAATTTCTTTCCGGGATTACGATTCTCGCGATTTCTCAAATTAAATGACTTTTTTTAGTTATTATATCGTTTCTTTTTTTTTTTCTTCCTTTAATGTAATTCGATTTCTATACTCTTCACGATTCACGATTAGTGTAATACCCGCAATTACTCGTTATTTCCGATAAGGCAGATGGCCGGAAATACGGTCCAGTTTCTCGATGCGGCACGGGTAGTTATTTATGCAACACTTAGCGCGCGAGGGGTGGCCGTTGAATCTGGGGTGGGAAACGGTGTTTCGGCATTTTTGCATCCCCTGCATTCTCACGCGAGTACGCCGGTACGAATAAAAGGCTACCTGTGCAAGAGTATCATTTTTCAGACAGGTACGCAGACGTGTGTATGACTCGTTCATTTTCATTGATTTGATTGTGACACTTTTAATGAGCGAGGCACGATGTATAACGACTTAAATATAATATTGTTTCTTTTCTTTTTAAATTAAATTGTAAATTTACGTATTTGCTGCGCAGATATACTCAATAATTTATCGCTATTATCTAAGGAATAAAAAAATTCCGAATAAAATAGATGGCACAGTTACTGTTGAATTAGTGAAAAAAAATGTATTACTGTAAATTATTAATTTAAGCACCAAATTTTATTTTAATTCCGTTGTTTCGAAGTCTCCTTCAACTAAGCATGGACCTATAAATGTCGATCAATTGAAATTTGACTACTAAATTAAATTTTATTCTCCCGCGTATGTTCAAAATAAAATTAAAACGTGATTGTATTGATTTAAATAAAATAGAGATATAGCTAGTCAATTAATGTAATCTTTGCGTCTTCCTATAAAAATATCTTTTTATACATTCTAAATTGTTATACTTTTATAAATTATTTTTTTTATAAATTCGCAAATGTTTATTTTATTCGGATCGATTAGCAGCCTCTTTTCGGTTTCTCCGTGCCAACGCAAAAAGCTTAAAGAT